AACAAAAGAAGCACTAACAAACAGGCAAGCCGAGAAGCCATCAACGTCTTGAGACGTCGTTGGTCCGCGCCTACGGGCTGCCGGGGCAGGCCATCACTTGGAGGAAAGCGGGGAGGGAAGGACAACCTATATGTGCCGCTCCCCTGCATCTTAACTGCCGGTATTCACACCACACGCAACAATACACACCCCCTGAAAGAAGTCTACCATCCATGATTGGTTTTCTGGAAGGGGGAAAAGAGCGTCATTTCGGCGTATGCTGGGTGCCCATTGGTGACTAGCAACTCTAGTCCCTATGCCGCTTCGGCCTTGACCGTTGGGAAGCTGGGCAGTAAAAGACGGCTTTTTGCCTCAGTTGTCTGTGTGTTGCTCTTTACTTTCTTTCCATCGGCCGACGATCCCCTCGTGTCAAACGGTAGGACAAGCGTGGCTGAGAAAGATCAGCATCGACGCCACGACTAGCTGCTTCGTTTTTTGGGAACACGCTGCATCTTGCATCCACGTCTTTTCCCCTGAGCAGCTGGACAATGAGTAAATCCTGACCCCTTTAGAGAACTGTCAAACAACGTGTCAAGCGTTCTAACAATAGACGAAGTGTCGGGTGCCTCTCTGTAATCCAACGAAATGGGGACAACTGGGAATAAGAACACCAGCTGTGATGAAAAGACGAGATGAACGACAGCGACTACTCGGTCGCAACAGGGAAGAAATGCATGATTGATGACGATCAACAAGAGATTTAGAAATTTAGCCGCCGGGCTTTTTCGTTCACACTCATCAAAATGTATGGACCGGTACAAAGATACAAGGTACGTAGTGAAGTCGGACGTGGAGCCCCGGGCGGCAGATGGGGCCGGCCGCGATACTTTCCCTCTAAACCTAACTCCCGCCGGCGGCTTCTTCCCCCCAGATCGGGGGCCGAAAAGTTCATGTCTCACCTTGTAAGGCTTACCGCCAACTTTGGCCCATCACGCAATGCATCGAGCACCTTGGAAGACAATAGCGTGAACAGTAAGAAACGGCGCAAGGGGAAGGGACTTGGGGGAGAATAAGCTTCTTACTCCCATCTGGCCCAAACCTCCCTCTCCGCCAGCTTTCCACCCCTTCAGCCGCGGTGGCGTCATCGGTCTCGCCCCCTCCCAAATCCATCCCCCCGGCCATGGTCCGAACTCTCGGTAACAAACTGCACACCCGGGCACAGCACACCGTGACACCTCTTTCCCATCTCCACGCCCGCCGCAACGGTACGGTGTCATTAACATGAGACCATGACACCCAGAAACGCAGCGCTGAATCAGTGAGTGAGGGGAGCAAGGCAATACTCGTCAGGAGAATAACAAAAAAAAGTTCCGAGAAAGCTGCGGGCTGGAACTCTGGACCTACATTGACGCTGCCGAATTCCACACAGACACAGCCGAAGCAGCTTGCCGGTTTGCCAACTTGGACAGACAAATACATCGTCACCAAACTGGGTGACAAGTGGGCATCGCCAAAACTCGCCTCCCACGATGTCACCCCATACCCTCACCATCAACGCCCTCATACCACTTTCACAGCAAATTCACCTACCGTCGTCACCAATGCTGAGCAGAAAGCAAAAAAAGAAGCAAAAAACGAAAGCCACAAAAGGGGAGGACGCTAGGACTTGACTTCCATCTTGAGCTCCCCTGTCCACCAGTGAACCACCCCCCAGAACCTCGAAGCGACCCCAAACCAGGCAGGGATCAGCCCTCTTCGGAGAGGAAAACCAAGGTCTGCCAGCCCTCCGAGAAACAGCTCAAATCTCCTGTGTATCTGCATTGTGCACCTAGTGTCTACGTAGAGAGTAATGTAATGAAAGCCCTAGACTTCGCACGGCCAATGATACTCTAAAGACGGCTCGCGGAAGAGGCTTAGGGAACGTACTACGATGCTGGGGTAGGTATACAACGCCACACGATATAGCAGCACGTTTGCTCTCCTATACGCGATGCTCAAGATACTCGGCTACGATGGCCGTACCTGCAACACCCTCCCACAGATTCCCAATTCCTCCTCATCAATGCCATTGACCCTCATCATTGGCCGTTCGTCCCAAAGTACTCCAAAGAACATGGATCCCAGAAACGACAACACGGATGGCACCTACGTAAGCAGCCAGATCATAGCCCTTGCTCGGGGGAGGATCGCAACTTGTGAAGAGCATGCATGCATACCTGCAACCATCTCTCGAATGCCTGCTCACCCACAACCCTGTGCCTGTGCTGGCCTCGCAAAAGAGATCGGCCTCAGCTCGACAAGGTCCTACGACCTGCAGTAGCCTGACTTTCGATGTCTTGCGAGGTGTTCCTGACAGCTTGCCGATCCCTTTTGGAGACCGTGAAGCTGAACGCGTACTTGCTTCTCGCCTCTCGGGTGCCGATCGTTGATAACTATCGTAGGCTTCAGTCAGGGTGTCAAACTTTCAGGATACTTGACGGTCTCCAAATGTGGATAGCTTCTCCCTCGTGTTCCCCTCGCTAAATTCGCCACTTGGCAAGAGGCCTCACTTTCCCATGTTAAAACATCGAATTCACAAACGGCACATCCGACATGGCAAGTACCAACGGAACGCGTAATGGGACTGCTTGCTGGGATCACAATCACCCTGCTTTCCATTCCTATAGGGCCGCTTGAGTGTCCGTGGTAATCGTACAAAGTTGTTGTCTATCGCATTCGACTCCTCTATGCATTCCCGTTCCCGCCAGAAGCAATAACCCCAGATACCCAGCGGCGGCATCACCCAACACGTGAATGGATTAAGCGTAGAAGTTGACCGTCTGAAAAGAGTCAGTATGCATACAGCAACCCACGGGCAGCAGGTCTCAACACTCACGTCCTTCTTCTTGGCTTGCACCTCGGCAATGGCATCCACGTAATGCTCGTGGCTAATCTTGTTCTTGCCCATACGCAGAGCAATCATACCGGCCTCTACACAGACGGCCTTGAGCATGGCACCACCAAACTCATCCGTGCTGCGGGCCAGCTCGCCCCAGTTGACGGCGGGGTCGACCCTCATCTTGCGAGAGTGAATCTTAAGAATCTGCGCACGCGCTTCCTCGTTCGGCAGGGGGAACTCGATCTTTCGATCGAGACGACCTGAACGAAGCAGCGCAGGATCCAAGACGTCCACACGGTTGGTAGCGGCCAGCACCTTGATGCGGTCGTCTGATGCGAAACCGTCAAGCTGGTTCAGAAGTTCCAGCATAGTTCGCTGCACTTCTCTGTCACCGCTCTTCTCGCTGTCGAAACGCTTCGTACCGACGGCATCCAACTCGTCAATGAAGATAATCGCCGGGGCCTTCTCCTTTGCCAGGGCGAAGCAGTCGCGCACAAGCTTAGCACCATCTCCAATGAACATCTGAACCAACTGAGGACCGGCAAGCTTGAGGAATGTAGCGTCGGTTTGTGCTGCGCAGGCTCGGGCCAGCAGCGTCTTTCCGGTACCGGGGGGGCCGTACATCAGGGCACCTATAAGTATGGTCAGTATATCGCCTAATGAGCCTCTGGTATTCGGTCGTACCCTTTGGCGCCTTGATGCCAATCTTCTTGAACCGCTCCGCCTCCTTCATGGGCCAGACAATGGCCTCAACCAGCTCCTCAATCTGCTTGTCGAGACCACCAACGTCCGTGTACTTCTCTGTCGGCTTCTCATCGACCTCCATGGCCTTGACTCTGCTGTCATACTCGGCCGGAAGCGTGTCAAGAATGAGGTAGGAGTCCTTATTGACACCGATCAGGTCGCCAGGCTTCAGGGTGGTGGGGTCGACCAAACCGATCAACGGGAGGAAGATGGTTTGTCTTGTGGAGGTCTTGATGACTGCGGACTTGCCCACGCGGGTGGCATCCAGATCGATGTTGGCACCCTCCTCCAATGACTCGGCAGTAGGGTCGAGATCGAGGAGTTCAACGACGTTGCCGACAAGGTAGGGTAATTGCCTGTAAGATGGATTATGTCAGTCGTCCATTCCGTCATCGTTGGTCGGGGGTGAGGGAGGGAAGCAAGTAGCATACCGGTTGTTAGCAATCTTGTCGTGGTTCTCCTTGATCTTCTCCCCCATAGTCGCCTTCTCGTGCGTCAACCGTTGCAGTTCGCTGCGCATGATTCTGGAGTCGTTCTCGAGCAGCCGTTTGCGTGTCTGAATGTCCTGCGTGCTGAGGTTCAGGATCTCGTCGTCAAGGATGTCTTCCTCCTTCTCAGCATCCTCCATATCGGCATCACCATCGTTAGTGGGCTTCTTCTCCTTCTTGTCCTTGTCGCCCTCGTCTCTCTTGTCGTTCTTGTCCTGACGATCGAGGTCGTCGAGCTCTTCAAGGGTCGACATGGTGGCGGGGTGTGTGTGGGGGACGGGAGGGGGATATTAAAGGTAGATGTTCGTCAAAGATACAATTCGCCGTTTCTATCGTCAAAGCGTGAGAGGGATTGGTGATGGGGCCGGGTCGGGTCGATACCGTGTGTCGTCGTGGGTTTGTGATGGAGCAGAAAGGGACAGCTTCGGAGCTGCGTGGGTGAGGTACTGGGCAGTGAGGCTCGAGCTGGACCTCAAGGCAAGCAACAGTCGCGTAATCAGCCTGGTGTTGCCCTGTGCGTCAAATGGCCAGGCCGGAAAGCGCTAGGAGGAAAGTCCGACCGCATCCGGCTACAGTGCTTTTGACTGTGCAGAGACATACCTGTACACGGTACGATATTATTAAGTACATCTTACTTCATCGATGAGATATTACCAGAACTACTTCACCAAGCCATGCTGTCATCTGATATCATGGCAGATTGAACTCATTTCTCTTGTCATTCAAACAGACAACATGGTACATCTATGAGACAAAAAGACCAGCTGGACTAGGTCGAGATGCGTCTCTCTCTCTCCGACTGATTAAAAGGGTATATGATATGTACAACAATAAGTCATCAAGGCACTTCCCTCGCCATCTTACAACACAGTAATTCCTTTCCCTCAGGCTTCTCGTCGAGTCGTCAAATTTCATTCGTCGTCAAGAATCCGGCTGGCCAGGGCGCCAAGTACGGGAACCTCGAATCTAGTACACATGGTCAGCACAATGTCCCCTTAGCAACGGGCTCATTCTCCGCTCCACCAACAAACATACCTATCTAGCGTATCCGCATCTTGGTACGCCTTCAACGCCAGCCACACCATGACAAACAGGTCGCCGATGAAGAAGAACCAGCTCAGGAACTTGGACCATGAGAGGAACACCAGGTGGAAGATCATGACGGCCGTGAACAGCAGTGCCGACTGCCATGCGTGAAACCTGCTTGATGTCAGCGACCCGATATAACGAGCAATATGCCTCGCTCGTAGAGAGGCCGTCGCATTATTGTCAGAGCCTCGACACCCCCAGAACACCCCACGTACCTCACATAATCACTATTCCGCTCCCCAATCAACAGCAATATCGCACCCAGCGGCGGAAACGCCAGATACGCCAACGCAGCCTCGTAATCCAGCCTGATCCCCAGGCTCGTATCGAACTCGCTCACGCCCTCCCGGTGCGCGTCCGCCGTGGGATAGGACCCTGGCAGGTTCGGCTGCCATCCGCGCTGCGGTTGCGGGTGTTGCAGGGGCGGGGGTGACGGCTGGCCGTACGGCGAAAAGGGTCTTCGAATATCGGCCGAGGCGCGCGGCGACGCGAGAGGCGGGGAGAGGGCTCGTTCGCGCTCCGGCGGGGAGGATTGGTAGGGAGCAAAGTCCATGATGTATGTTTTTGGTTCTGTTGTTGTGGTATGGATGGGAAAGCTGGAAGGGATCGCGGGGTTTCGCAGGGCTAGGCAGAGGTTCGGAGGAAAGATTTCGATGTTGTACCAGGGGATTGCGGGGTTCTTGAGACAGATTCGTACGCTGATGTTGTCGTGGTGTTGTTCGTCAGACGTGGTGAAGCTGTTGAAGTCCGATGTTCGAGGTACGTCAGCTTAGGGACTTTTGGGAGCTCAGAAACGCGCAATGCCATGGCGTCAGGTACTCCGTGGAGGTAGCTGGAGCACACCTGGAACTCGCGCTCCAGGCTTAATTAGGGGTCTTTTTCCGGTTCGGCGGCGCGTTCATGCAGGTCACCTGCAGCGGTCGCTGTTAGTGGCTCTCGCCCCGCCTTTTGCCGGCCCGGTCAGAACGAACCGTCCACCTCACTCTTTCGTCTTCAGGGCTCTTGTCAAACTTACTCCAGACTGAGGCGGCTGAGACGAACTATAAGTCTGTTAGTCTCGAATATTATTCAATACAAGATGTGCCACTAGAATGTCTAATGGTCAGTCACAGAACTCAACAACGTTGTGGTGCCTCAAATTATCTCGAGGAGGCTTGCTGACTGTTGCTAATGTCGCCTCCGCCCGTTTTGAACGGTCCTGTACGGCGGTCCATTCAGGCTTCTCGGTCTCCGTTAAAGAAACGGCGCGACGCTTATCGGTGCTCAGAGAATGGAAAACACGATGAGCACTTCACTTTCGTCAAGGGAATCATGACTTGGCAGTAATTCACATGCAACTCTGCTGACTACAGTCATACCCAACTTCGATGCCATGAACAAATAGTTTAGCTCTATAGTAGAGATCCGTATCCCGTGATAATACAGACTTTTACAGCACTATCATACACCGTCCTCCCAAGCAACCCTCTACTCGGACTTTGTCTCCTCCGCGCTCGCACTCTCCTTAGGCTTCCCCTCATCCTCCAACTGCGTCCTCCGGCCCTCCAACGCCAGCCAAAGGCTCTTGCTTCCGCCCTCAAGGGCAGTAGTAAGACCCAACCCAGCGCTCTGGAGCATATGCACGAGCTGCGCCCGCAGCCCATCGAGGCCGCCCTCAATACCACCAACCCACTTGACGCCATCAACATCAAACACATCGCCCTCGACTCGTCCACCGACAAGCAGCAGCTTCTGCAGTGCGCTCTGGCACAGGGGCTCGTAGTACCCCGGGTTCTTCTTCCTCGGCGGCGCCGCAAACTTGCCCGGGCTCGGCGCCAGAATCTTGAGCGCGGCCGCGAGGTGCGCGGGCGAGACGGCGGGGAAGACCAGCGCCGCCGTGGGACCGCACAGCAACGGCGAGATCTGCGCGTACGCCGAGTCCTCGGGGACCTCGAAATCCTTCATCGCCTCGTAGGCCGCCATACTCAGATCGTGTACCAAGGGCCCGCGGGGTCCCGTCCGCGTGCCGGCCTTGGCCTTGGCGGCCTCGGGGTCGTAGAACTCGGCCAGCTTGAGCGCGACGTTGAACATGCGCGTGCGCAGGACCTGGAGGTGGACCTCACGGCCATCGAGGGGGCTGTTGGTGCCGGCGGGCGTGGCAGCGATGAGGGCGCTGTTGAGCTCGCGGCGGACGGCGGACCACTCGTCTGCCGTCAGGTTGCTGTGCTGGAAGAAGAGGATCAGGGGCGTCGTGCGGAGGAGGGAGGTGTAGGTCCTGATGAGCTGGGACTTGCGGGTTTCGGGGGGGCGGGCGGAGGGAGGCTTCGTTGCGGGAACGTAGTCGGCGGGGAGACGGAGGCTTGCGGCGGCCGGGGCGGCGAGGAAGGAGGTCGTGGTGGTGAAGGATCGTGTGATTGGGGTTGAAGCCGTCGCCAGCCTGCGCAGGGCGCGCGCGGCCTGTTGTGGTAACCTTGGTGGCATCCTGGGGGAGTTCGTTAGCATCGATCCAAATGGCAAGTCTGCAATGCTCGTCTGAGGGGTTATGTACGTGTCTGGAGAGCAGGAGATGTCTGTCCTGTCGGCGTGATGGGGGTGCACCTGGTGATGGGAAAAAGTTGCTGGAGCTCCCGAGCTTCAATCGCCAGTCGGACAAATTTCATATGGCCCGTGCACCACATCGACGGTAAGCACTCATTGGCCAATCACAGCGATTCGTTTGACGACGCTTCAGCATGTCGACTTCAGCTTCACTCAATTCCTCACCAGACGGGAAATCAGATTCAGTTTCTCCTTTTCCATTTACCAAGCTCAAGGGTATTTCATAAAGTCACAAAAAAACCGTTTCCTTCCTACCGAAAGCTCGCTTTCCAAGTCCCATTCCCTACCATGCCATACCTAGTAGGGACTGTGTCTCAAGTACTAGAAAGAAACGAACGGAGCTCATCTCACGAACTGCCTCACTTCTTGTCCCCGGCTTGCTTCTCAAGCTCCTTTCGCAGCTGTTTAATCGATGCAGCGTTATGGGGAGACTCGATCATTGATCCAATTTCCAAGAACTCTTGCGCATCCTCCATCGACAAGGTCTGCAGGTACTTGGCGAGGCCGTCGGACGACGCCATTTTACTAAGCAGCTGATCAGGCGTCGCCGCATTCGAACTAATGTAGTCGGTGACGATGCCCTTGCACTGCTCGAAGAACTTTTGGGATGAATCCTTGGAGATGCCATGCCACAGGAGCCAGGGCGTGGAAATCTCGCGAAGCTCGTCCAACGAGTGCGTGGTGCAGATGTTGTAGTGCTTGGCCATGCGAGGACCAAGGAGCCCGACCGAGTCGAACTTGACCTTCTGACCGTGTTTGATCAACCGGTCGACCCAGAGTGCGACGAGGCGGATGGTCTCGGACCCCGCGGGCAGCAGCTGGTTTTGCTCGCTGAGCTCACCCTTGACGATGACATCGAACACACGCCGATCCATCCAGATCCTCTCGTAGACATCGCACTCCTTCTGACAGTTGGTGACGCCAATGGCAAACTCGTGAGAGTACGGGTTCGGGTCGTGGACAAGGTACTGCCGGAAGAGTCTCTCCTCGCGCAGACGATTGGTGGCCTCCCTGAAGATGTCGTCCGAGTGGACCATGAACATGTAAGTCCTCTCCCTGAACAATTGCTCCTTCAGATGCGACAAAGCAAAGGGCCCGGGAACATTGGGCCACTTGGCGGCGATGTAAGTCTTGATGCACGATCTCCAAGTATAGGCGACCTCATCACGGCAAGAGACGAGACCCTGCTGCTCGCGGGGAAACCAGTGAGGCGTCATGTCCGTGACAACCGTTGAGCCAACGCAGTACGCAAGTCTGTATCATTTCCTAGTTAGCCTCATCTTCGCCAATGGGATCGTGTCTACCTTGGAGGAGTACCTAGACTTGACCCATACCTCGCCCGGGAGGAGGATCTCGTTAAAGCCGAACTTGGCTCCAAGAAGGTCGATGATGAACAAGTCGTCGCTTCCCTTCAGCCGACAATTGAGAACGGGATGGGGCCAGAACATCGGATCCTTGCCCTTGGCAGTGTTGATGGCGGGGCCTTCGCGGCACCGATCAGCGGCAAGAGAGGTAATACTGTTGGCATTGCGCAGGAACATCTGCATCTCAACCACATCGTCACAGAGCGCTATCGCCATCGGTTAGTTCATACTGCTGTTCGTCTTCCGAATGAGATGAACGGGAAAAAAAGACGCTGGGAGGACATAGGCCTGAGAGCGATACTTACGGCTGACGATTTGACGAATGATAGTCTGAAGGTGGTAGTAGAGGTTGTCACCAGCATCCCAAGCCAATGCTCTCGCGCGGTCCTCATTCCTCTTGTCCGCCAAGTACGACTTGCCGAGAGGGAACACCTGCTCCCCCACCCAAGGTCCAACAGCACACGCAGCCGGGGTGACGGCGAAGCGGGGGACGCTGTTGAGGTCGAGCGCCTTGGTCTTGTTATCACGGACCTCGATCGGGGAGATATCAACGGCCTGGCCGGAAAAGGTCGCGGCCATGAACTTGTCCGCGATGCCCTTCAGAATCCAGACGGCTCGGATGAAGTGCTTGTGACGCTGACACTCCTCAAAGTGCGTCTTCCAATCCTTCTTCTGGCACTTCGGGCCGCAGTAAGTTCGACGAAGGTGCGGAAACCACTCGACGTAGCAGCCGCTGCAGTGGTGCATGGGCTTCTTCGCTCCACAGCGAGAGATCTTGCGCTCGTGACCGCAGGTAACACACTTCTCGATGCTCAATAGCTCGTTCAAGTTACACTTGCTGCCCAGACGGACCTTGATGTCGGCATCCTCGTCTTTTCTTCCACGATGAATCCAGCGGGCATACTTCAACCACTTATGCTTCTGAACGTATGCCTCTCCGGGACAGGGGCCACCATCAACAGCTTCGCAAAGGTGGTTTGGCTTGACAGGGGCAGGATTATCGACAATCTCAGAGTTGTGGTACAAGGCAATCTCGCCAAGAAGCTGGGTGAAGGAGCATCGAATAGACAAGTCGGATCTATCCCAGAGAGAGAAAGCGAAGCGCCCGGCCCACCACAAGTCAGAGGCAGCCTTGTCGTCGGATTTGGCGATGATATCCTCGATGCTGGAGTTGGCATAAGGCCAGAGGGCCAGGGCGAAACGGCGGTTATAATCTGCAGACTTCTTGCTTCCCTTGAAGCCTGAGTCATCTTCCTGGATTTGCGGCAGAGCCGAGAAGAGGTAGTTCACTGGGTCGCCGGGCAAGCTATCATACCGCTCGGAACGATCGAAATAAGAAGGAAGATCTTCCTGGAAGAGGATATAGTCGAGCTCGGGAAGGCCTCTGCGAGTGGCACCAGCTGCACTTTTTTCACCCTTGGGCTGCGACGAAGATTAGTCTGATAAATAGGAAATGAGGTGTTGGGGTGGAAGGGAAACTTGAGAGATGACATACTATGGGACCAGATGCGTTCATCAGGCGGAGGAAATGGTTTCGGCCGGTCGATGGGAAGCAGCTGCGCTTCGTGTCCTTGTAAAGTCCCTGCTCTGACTTCTTGGCCTCCATGAGGATGGTATCAATGCTCTTTGCGGCACTGAGGCAAGAGTCGCTCGTAAGATAAGTGATGATGGGTTGAGGAACGAATGTCTCGAAGAAGTGGACGAGGCAGGCCAGGGGGAACAGGCAGTTGCTCTTCGGAAAGTTGAGAAACGCGAAGACGATGCCAGCGGCAGGATCCTTCTCCTTGGACTGATTGACGATGAGATCGAGGAGTTTGACGAATTCTTCGGGGTGAGTGATGGGAGTGGAAGTAGCGAGCTGGCAGCAGAATGATTCGGGTTCCTTCCTTGCCGGTCCGCCGTCGTCGCCTGAGCCTGAGGCGCGAGGAAATTCCTGGAGGCAGGAGGACGCCATCTTATGATCTTTTTTTCGAGGCTTCTGCTTCAGATGAGAGCCCTCGCTGGGTGGCTATGGTGATGGTTGGGCTGCAACTTTTGGAGTTTCTCTTTTCCAGCAACGTCGAGAAAAAAAAGAGGATGTTGTGGAGGAAAGATCTGTTTGTATTCTTCAACAGCAAGAGAGTTCTATTTTGTTTCTGAGCAACAGCCCGCCCCTTCGTCTCGAAGAAGTCGCATGCCCCAAGGCCCGCAGCTGAGAGGAAGTGCGGCTTGACTCCTGTGATGCGGGTCACTCTAGGTCCATCTGTGTGAAGGAAGGCGCTTCCAGGAGATCCTCAGTTCAAAGTATCAACGAGGAGCAGCTTCTTTGCTTGCTACTTCCACCTCTCGATCCTAGAAGCTTCTCGTTATCCTTGTACCTACCCTACGCTCCTTGGCAGGAAAAAGGGTAAATAACAAAGAGACGACCAACATGAGTGATTTCTAATAGTCAAACACAACAAGGTGAAGGGTGCCTGGACAAAGGTAAACCCAATCAACATCACGAATCGGTATAGCTTGTTAAAGATTACAATGCAAGTTGGGTGTTGACAAACTTGTTTGTCTCCACATATGAAAGCAGTATTCTGTTATCCACTAGAGACGTTGCAAAAGCAACACTATCTGCCTTTTCAAGGAAGTCAACAAATGTCTACCATCCCAAAGTACCTCATAGCTCCAGAGATACGTCCAACCCAGGTGCTCTTGGCCAATTTGGCCACCAATGTGGCATGTACTGTCCCACACCTTCATAGACCACCGCATCGGAAACATTGTTCCCTCCTGGATCAACTTCCAATCTCCTATCTCTGTCAATATTGTTAGCATCTTCGAGGGCAGAAAGAAAGGCAACCTTACAGCTGGTCCAGGGACGGTGACGATCCCACCAGAGCACCCAAGCCTTGTCCTGCTCTGCCTGCACCTCAGTCTTCAGAGTCGAGAAACCCTTGCCAATGGATTGTCGATAGGTCTCGAGAATGGTTCGATACATATCGAGAGCATCGTACAAAGGCCAGTCCCAAGGATATCCTTGCTTGATCTGGTGCTGTCTCCATGCCTCGAGGTGCATGATGAACTGAAGAATAAGACGCCATGGGGCAACAGCAGAGTCCGAACGCGAGAGCTCCTTGTCCATCTCGCTGTGAAGCCTCTTGATATTGTGCGGATGCATTACGGGAAAGTTCTGGGTGCGCATGTCGGTGAAATAAATCGCTGCTGCTTGATAGTCTCCCCTGTCCCACCCCCCAGCGGCACCCTGCAGATGGTTGAAGCGAATGAGAAACTGGCCAACGGCGTTCCTGACAGGAGGCGATGTTGCAAACGAAACCCGGCTATGGGGCTCCGCCATGTAGTTCCAGTTCTGAGAGCCAAAGGCGTTAAGAAGATCCTTCAGAATGTCACAGTCTCTCCCTGAATCAAGAGGGGTGATGACGTATCCGGTTCCCCATGACAGAAGGAAATTGTATCGACAGGCACCGTTGTCGCAACCTGGGAAGCCGCACCAGCGCCATTCGGGGTCCGGAACCTTGCCGGCATGTTCTCTGAGGTCGCGCACGCGGTAGTTGGATCGGACGGAGCGGGATCGGAGTAGCTGTCGATAGTATTGCTCGTTAGCCAAAGCTTTGTCCTGCTTGGAAATACGGTTGGAGTGCAGAACCTGTTCGCGAAGATCTCCAGTCGATAAGCCAATTCGGTGAGGGGTTCTTCGCGAGGGGCCGGCTTCCGAGGAAATCGTGTTCACGCCGCTCAAGGTTCGAGCTGGGCGACCTTCCCCGTCAATCGGCTTCCGAGCCGCCGAGTCGAAAAATTGGGATGCTGAGGACGTGGGCTCGGATTGATGGAGTGCCTCCTGGGACGTTGGGGCTGGGCGTGGTCTAGGGATAGTCGCAGACAACGCGGGACGTAGCCAGCTCTCTAATTCAGGGTGCAAGGTGCGGTGATGAAGAGCTGGTAGAGACCGATCGGGTGAGGTTTTAAGATCGATGGGCTCAGATGTGGCATCGGAGGAGCTATCAGAGTTCCAAAGTATCGCCCAGCCGGTGGACATTGGGGAAGCTGGATTATTGATGACAATTAGGGGATGGTCGCGTTCGTCGTTGTTTACTTCGGTAGTCTCAGGGAAGACGTAGTCGTCTTCGTCATTGTTGGGCTGCACCATTGTGGACGGCCTGGTTCTCGAATTTGGGAATACGTCTTACAAGAGTAGCAAGTCCATTTAACGTTCCCAAACCAGTTCCGGGTGGAAGGTTGCTCTATATAGTACTCGGTATAAAATCAAGCCATGTTCAAAATCCCCCCAGAAGCCATAGGAAGCTTCAAGACAGCAAATGAGACAGGCAGCTATGATTAGGAAAGGCATATATCAGACAACAGACAAAGGGGCCTACACTGTGTCCCGTAATTCTTTGAGCAGTCTTGTTGTCTAACAACACCAAGCATAAGCCCTTTGTGGTTTGTCGTCTCAAATCAATGTCAGCTAAGGGTCTAGGGTCTCAAGTACAGGGTCGCCAGGCTAGTGAGTAAGGTAAAGTCAATCTTTCTGACATCATGTTTAGATATCCTACAAACTCGGCATGCCTCAATTCTCTCACCTTCTGAAGATAACTTACGTGACCTGTACCTTGAACTCTCTTGATAGAGAGAACAGAGTGCGTCGACGTCAGCTGCAGAGTATGAAGAAGAACATGCTCACATGCTTTTCTACTTGCTGCCTGGTCCCTTAAGATACGACGCCCGGTGTGTCAAATTGAGACCGAAGAAATACATATTCCGCAGAGACGACAGTGGGCAAAACTAACGTAGTGCACATGGGGTAGAAGTTCTAGAAAGCCTAGGAGGAGTAGATAGGCAAGGCTTTTCCACAACAGCTATTCAGAGATTGAGATCACATACAATCTCCGGCCTCTTGTAGCCGTGACTAAGCTTGCGGATTCTCAAGTAAACAGGGAATAATCCCTCTACGTTCTAGAATGATTAAAAGTCAAATCAATTAAACTCCAGAAGCTTGAATGCTTAAACCATTGTCAAGAAGCATTATGATAGCCTTCCACTCAATCTAAGTCCGCATCAACGACCTTGATCCAATCCTTCTCATCCTCCTCACTTTCGTCACCATTTGCGGCATCGGTATCCTTCGCAAGTACACGCTGGCGTCGATCGAATTCTTTAGCTGACTCCTCGGTACGGTGAGATCGAGCTTCGTAGTTGGCAACGAGCTCCTTTACACGACCGTCGCCGAAGGAACCAGTGTGTTGGAGGCGGAACTTACCAGATTTGGAACGAGAGTGGGACTCAACAGAGGCATTGTTATTACGCTGAATCAACTGGGCCTTGATCTCCTCAGTCTTCGATCGCTGAGTGGCTTTGGGCTTCTCTGGTTGGGGATCTGAGAAATCGGCAGGTGCGTCAGAGGGGCGGTTGTCTTCTAGGTGTTGGAAGACGCGCTCGGCGTATTCAGCGGCAGATGAAGAGTCTTCGGCATGAGGCGCCATTTTGAGGATGTATGCGACAGTTGGGAAGTTATGGGCTTTAAGTGAGAGTCACGGTGATTGAAGTAACTTCTGTAAGGAGGTGATGTTGATGTTATTCAAGTAGGGGGATATTTCATGTAGGAAGCTGCTAGGATTATGTAAATTGTCGAGTTCGATTTCTATCATGTAGTTCAAATTGACTGAGGGACACTATCATTCATGGTAATGGACTAGACTTTGAAGATATCATACAAATACTTTGTGACAGTTGGATGTGAGACAATGCTCTCTGATCATGGCCCTTGTAGAAAGACCTGTCTGCACAGATTCAGAACTTTCGTGGAGAAAGCCCATTAGTGTTCTTTGTTAACCGTTTCTGCATCACAAGAAACTTGTGTCGCAATGCGAGGATTTCACCTTTTTCAGTTCGAATATCATGCTCGCTTTCATGTGGCCGAAGACAAAGGAATGGTTCATTGCAGTTTTCTTGACAGCCTAAGCAAAAGGATCCATCGTGATACCTTGCCAAATCCAGGAGCTAAAAGCCTTTGAATGCCGGTCTTAGGGACTGAATATTACTCCATGTGCCTTTGAATGCTCGAAAGGTTCGCATCAAACTGATACTGTGTGAGGAGAGCACTCGTCCGGTGTTGGCTTCAGACAATACAGTCTTCGCTTTGAGAGAGGTTCTCATACTAGCTGTGGTAGAACGAGAAATTGACAGCCTCTACTTGTCAGATTCGGCCTGCAAAGGTACTCATGACGGATAGAGCAGTTCTCATCTCAACTGCATGTTTAGTTTCGACTTGACTGAAGATGTGACGGATAATAGCCTACCTACTTTAGCGCCCGACTAATGAAACAGCCACATCTTGTGCCATTCTTTTTACCTACCTTTAGAGTTATAGTACCTATGGCTTCAAATCAGCCATGGCGCAAAGCTAGGCCGAGATGCTATACCAGGTAGCTCAATTATTCCGAGTCAGCCTTGAAATATGCCCACGCTATCATGACCGATCGCTGGTCACACAAAACGGCCGTTCACGCTACTAGCCATGCTAATGGCCTTCTTCACATTTACAGTGACGATTCTAGTCCTCAATTAGCATAGCCGGGTGACTTGAGGCTAGGTGTTGGCGGATCAGGCACCGGTTTAGGTGGTGCATAAATGACACCTTTAGGGTTCTTCGTTTCTCGCCGCATTGTGGTCCTGGTGGTATAGTTCCCGCCCGAAATATAGAAACATCATACTTCCTGAAGCAAGTAGAAGATAATACGTCATTACATGAGCTTGCAGTGATACAGAATCATGTGAGTTTCAGCTCGTCATAACCAGCAGCAATTTTACTTCTGACTGTTCAGTCGAGCCTATGCTGATGGCGGTCCTCACTCCCTGGGACAAAGTAGGCTGCCAGATGGTAAGACCAGACCAATGAGCCAGGATAGCCTGATGTCTACTGCCTCAGAAATTGTTATCGGGTGAAGCCTGTGGAATGCACACCTTCGGGCTGCAGGGCGATGAGAGATGGTGCCCCATTTAGAGTTGAGGCCTACAGCTATTCTGGACCAATGACATGGATGGTCCAGCAGAACTCAATTGCCAATCCATTGAGCACTTGCCGCTTTCTGAACGCACTCTTGAGCATAAAACGGCTCTCCTCCCTCGAGGACTCACTTTCTTTTCACTCTTCTTGTCACGGCCGGCACGGTGGTGCTATGCCACTCGTTCTTTTCAACTTTCGCCGTCCGTTCCTTACCTCTTTTCTAGCTCTCCCCCCTTGGCCATAGAAACTCTGCTCTTGCCGTCAGATCTTCTCAACAGGCTCAACACTCCTTCAACTCGTTTGGTAGTCCGTCTACATATCTAGTTCGACCTCGCGAGGCTCGACCGGTCAAACAAGAGAACATCATAATCATCGCTTTGAGACCGTAGATCCGTCGTGGGTAAAGACCGGAAGTGGCGGGCCGCTAGGTGACTATGACTGGGGTATATCGTCAAGTTTACCTCAGCCTGTTGAGCAGGATGGGGAGCAGAGTAACAATGAGCCAAGTTCATCTCCGGAATATGGGGCACCTGCCCCAAGCCCGTCTCTACTGGAACAATACCAAGAAGATCACGAGCATGGCAGCCAGTCAGGCGTGGAACACATCGCCCCCAGCACTGTTCAGAGCACCGAAGACACAGAGCCAACTGAACTACGATGCGACGAGTGTGGGAATGTTTACGCAAGGCTTTGGGAGGTGAAGTATGTCAACCTCAGACTGCCGACATTAAAAAAAAAGATCGTTGCTGACCTGTTCGCAGTCGCTGTAAGATCAAGCATGAGAAGCCGTTCAAGTGTAGAGCGGGAGACTGTTCTTGGGCTTTCCGATACAGAAAAGACCTCAAGCGACACTGCGAAGAGCGGCATTCGGACAGGGAGGGCTATTTCTGCCCGTTCGCCGGATGCAAGTACTCGCAAGAGAAGGGTGTCGGTATCAAGAGGAAATCCAACTGGCAAAGACACGTACAGACACAGCATCGCGGCTAGTATGAAGATTGGCAGCCTCATGGATCGACAGAGATAATCCCTCAATACAATGGAAATGTCATGCCGGGCAAGTAAGACTCCTTCCCGCCCATTGCGACCGCAAAAAGCGACCCGAAGAGCGGTTCTGAATCAAAGACCGAGCTCTAGCCGTAGGCAACAACAAACTTCCCCCGGCCCCCAACGTCTAGCTCCCACAGATCCCTGCCCAACCCCCGTTAGCGGAGATTTCGCAAGCGAGATGGCGGTCTGAGAATGCAGTGAATGGCCAGCCTTATTGGAAACATGCTACGAGTGGCAGCTCGTAAGTCGCTTTGGGGATGGTGGCTTACGCTAGTCATCCCGCGTAGTAATTTAGTCGCGATGATTCGTTCCTTATCTGTCTTAGCTGTCAGCCCTGGCGCTCAGCTGCGTCGAACCGGCCCATTCTCAGAGCCCATTCCCAGACGCCCACGATAAAGAAAGAGTGCGGCTGTTAGACGGAGATTGTGGCCGCCGGGATGGGCAGCAACTTGAATATCCTGATCGTGCCAGCCTTAAGAATGTCTCTGTGCCCCGCGCCATGGATGGCTGCTTGTCCCCCACTCGAATCCACAGTTTCTTGCACACTACGTTCAGTTGTCGTGAAGAGATACCTCGAACAGGCGTGAGAGCCGCCGCCTCCACTCGACAATGAACTCCTATGATCCCGAAACCATGGACCTTTGGGTTCCGGGTACGGAGGTCAAAGGCTCTGGGAATCTGACCTGGGAGCAACTGGACTTCAACCGCAACTGCACGAACTGGGGTCAATGGCTGGCTGCCATGCTTCAACCTGATCCATGGGATCCAAAGTCGACTCGAGGAATGAGTGTTCAGCTGTCAATGGCACTGTACTCGACGGCTATGCCGAAGGGATACGAGACGACCTACTCCGAAGTATCATATTGGTTCGCCTACAATATGTATCATACACCATACCCGGAAAACTCGAGCGATCCCACATACTATCTTTTCAGCACACGATTCAATGAAACCGTTCTATGGGGCCCAAAAGAGCATTGTGAGGCCGAATTCTGCAAGGCCGTCGGATATACAGGAAGTCAAGATCTCTGCGGTATTGGAGTAAGAACAGAACGCCTGAAGTCGCTATGCTGTGCAAAGATCTATTGGCTAACAAAGTGAAGGTGGTGGTATCCTACTACCTCGAAGCCATCTTAGCAACGATGTACCTTGTCGCATTCACGATTCATCAAGTACGACGCCACTTCAACAAGAACCTCTGGGAGAAGACGCGACCGAAGCAAAAACAAAGACTGAGCGGTCGCATTCTCGACTCGTTCCGCGGATCGCTCGACATGTTCCTCAGCGGCTCAATGCTGATCGCAGTGGCCATGTTGGGAGCTTCCGTCTACTCGGCCGCTACAAACTTCAAGGAGAGATCGGAGATCAACCCCGACCTCCCATCAGCGGATGCGATTTACGAGCAAGCCTTGGCACTGATCGCGTCCAACTACTCTGTGTTTCCGGTCATGTTGCTCTACGCGCTAGCCAAGCACGATGGCCATCGCAAGTGGCTTCATCGATCTGTCCTTGGCCTCCTTTGGGGTTTGAGCGTGACGGTGGTGTATCTGGCGCCAAGGGCGGAGATAGATTACAAGGAACGAAAGAGTGGGCACAGAAACTTTGACTGCGATCAACGTGGCTCGCAGTACTGGCCCGTCGTCAAAGCCACTCAGTTCTTGGTCATTGCGCTGCCGATGATATGGCTCCTCCTAACGCTGTTCGTTACCACTGGATTTAAGATTCCCGGAATGATCGATAAGCCTTGGGTCAAGAGATGGAGGTCTTGCTGGCGAATGTTGGTCGCCTGGATCAACCTGCTGGTCATGTGGGGCATACTAGGCTACTTTACTCACTTCCGCCAGAAGATCATCAACGCGGCTGATGGCATTGACAAGAACGATAAGTGGACGTTTGGACAAGTTCTTGCTCTGGCAGCTTGGGTACCAGTCATGGCTGAGCTGCTGTACATACTAATCTGTAAGTCTACAACGGGATGCTGCTCTTTACGTACGTTACTGACTGGCTACTTAGTCGGACTTGAGGAGGGTCTGTCAGGCCATATGCCTGCCGACTACCACGCGACCCATGTCACGCAACCTGACCAGAACATGGGAGTTCCTCTCCTCGACAGAGGTTCGATGTACGACATGAAGCACGCCTCTACCATGTCAGCAATGTCTGTATCCACAACGTTATCTTCGCCAGCGACTCCTGGGCAGGTACAAACGCCTAGGTGGCAGCAGAACTCTGGATACCAACACAGCCCTGTGTATCAGCCAGTTAACATGCAACAGCCCCACGTTCAGCATCATCAAAGTTGGGACGGATACTACCACACGGGTTGGTAACTCACCAAAATATACGAAAAAGACGGAATGAACGAAGACTTCAAGTTATAGCGATCGGGGGCCTTTGTAATGATGAAGATAGTGTTAATCAATAATGTGTTATACAATGAGACTGTGGAAGTAGTTCAACAGAGTCTGATCCGTTGTGATGTCCACCAGCAAACATAGAAGCTCCTGCCTTCTGCGCGCCACTGATCACTTCCAAAATTGTTCTAAATCCAACATTGAGAACGGTAGATCATTTTCATTCCCCATCTGTTCCACGATTGAAAGGAAGTCATCCGAAGAGATACCGATAGTCTCGAGAAACTCGGTGTTATCTGGTGTATCCGAAGATACACTCGCGAGCGGCTGCGACTCACTCACCGTCGTCGTAGACACCAAGTCAGGTTCGCTGACAAAAGTTTGAGTTGTGATCGGATCGATGACTGCTTCAATTGAGCCCGATGGTATCCCATTAACTATTAGATGGGGTCAGTACATATGTGCGTAGTTTCCCAAAGGATAATGACGAATCATATCTGTCTGGCTCTATTTCCTTCAATCCTTCCCATTTAAGAGCAGAGATAGAGAGAAAAGTAGAGAAAGACGAGAGACGAGAGAAAGCTGGAGACGGATGTACTGACGCCTTGTAGTAGGTGAGTGGATACGGTCTTCAAAGTCTTGGTCGCGTACCCGCCGCGTGAATTCGCGAAACAAAGTCTCCAAATGGACCAACTCTGCTTTTCGAACCTCTGCCACCAAGTTTCCTTTACTGATCATGTCATCCAAGATGTTGTGTGTCTGTTCCATCTGAGACAGTCCATCGTCGCCTATTACCGCTGGGAAGAGTGCCTTGGCCATTGTTAAGTGTATGGCAGCTCCATAAGCATATTCCAACTCAAATGGAAGAAAGACTTCTGTTGGTGGTTTGACGGTTATTTGGAGTCGTGCGCAGTGTCAAAGAAACGGTCAGATTGTACTCATACTTACCTAATAGACTATCATCCCCAGACAGAATTTGAAGACTCTTCACTGCTGATTTAATGCCCGTCTCGACCAGAGTCTTCAAGGGAGCTGAGAAGGTTTGTGGATCTCTTCTACACCACTCAAAGTTCTCAAGCTCTTGTTTTAAAGCGGATAGAAAAAGTGGCCTCGTAGCCATGATAACACACTCCAAGAAGACGATTGTCAGTCGGAAGATGACTGAATGAAAATAAAAAGCAACAACTCACCTGATGGTATAGCAAGGTAATGCTTCTTGTTCCTTTCGGCATGGCATCCACCGAGTTTTGGAACTTGAATCGAGTTATCTTCTCAATCTCCTGTGCGTGACCAGCCAAGGCATGAATGATGGACTTTGTCGAAGTAAGGAACTCCCCAAGTGGAGTCTTCTCGGACCTGTAGATAGCTTCAAAGCCGAAACATTAGTACAAATCTCTGTGGGAACAGATGGGACTGACTAGTAATGATTGATGATAGCAAACGCGAGAGTTTGACTTGGAGACCAAGCGTTGCGTCACGCTGCGAGCATATACTCGGGGGGTCAAGCACAGTGGTAATGTCTGCGTCTTGAGTGTTCATGGGGACTCCTACAGAGCAGGAAAAATGTCGATCCATAATATACAAAGTCCACCAGAGGTTGCGACAACGAGCGACCACTTGAGTTCCGAGTGCATCCTCAGGAAGTTGGGTGTGCAAACCCTCCAATTGGGCTATCCGAATCGCTTGAGCTATCTGCCAAAGGAAATCAGATGGGGCTCGAATGAATTACTTGACAAAACTGGATGTAGACTCACGTATAATTTTGCAGATTCTCTCTGATAAATCGAATACAAATATAGACCTGCAAGGGCCAACACCTCGATGGCTAGCAAACTGTCTTTCCACAAGGCGTTCGGCTCTGGTAGTAGCGCCATGGCGCGAACGAAGAACTTTGCACCAGGCGGTTCCTTTGAGTCCTTTGACCGTGAAAGAAAAGCTTGCCCAAAGGATAAGACGAGCAGGAATTGTACAAACCACAAAGGTGACTCTGCCGCTTTCTTGGATGCCAGGCCGTAGTAGAATTCTTCTAGATTCTTGACAAAATTTGTCTCGTCAATAAGTTGATAATTCTGACCAAGATGGAACTTTACGGTGTTGAAGAGATAGATAGCATGGTCAATGGAAGGAAGTCCACTGATGTCTGGTTGTCCATCTACCGTCGAGGCTTTCCACCTTAAGGGGTATATTTCGTCATTGAGAAAGCTAGGGGCACTGAATGGGGTTTCAACTTGGACTCTCTCAGCCATCATTAGGGTGAGACGGGCAGTGAAAGACCATGTTGATGATGGAGCTAGCCAAACTATTCATGCAATTATTGTCAGTATGACTACCTGTTCAATCACAGCCCTCCACTTACTCCAATTACGTTTATTCTTGTGGGTGTTTTTGATAGTCGTAGAGGGCAACGTGAATGGGCTTGTGTACACGCACTCGGAAGAGTCATACAACTGAGATGACCTACACTCGACTGACTGAGAATCTGGAACTTATAAATTAGCTCACCATCACAGTTTGGAAAAGGAGCTTTGGGTTAATCACTATAGTCTTCGTCATCGGATCCAAACGCTGCACCGCGAGATCGCTTGCTCCCTGGTGTCGAGTGTTGTTCTGAGACACGCCTTTGCCGCCCTGAACTGCTTCTAAAGACTTCATCAGATAAAGACTTCATCAGACTTTGAGTCGTAAGATCTCGAATTCCTTCACAAACCTCTCGGTATTGACCGCAATGTTTGTTCCTTCCGAGTACTCGCATTTCATTAAACGCCGCTGGCAATTTGCGCACGGCTCTTCGCCGGAGCATTTGATCTTACTTTGTCGACAGCTAAAACATCTAGCATATGGTCAGTGGACCCTTCCACCCGTAGGATATTGGTACAGGGATTGGGATTTACGCGTTTGTCGTTCGCCTTAGCTTCCGTCTCTCGGAGTCTCTAGTTCCTCTGCTTGCGGGCGACATTTCCCAGGGTGCAAAATTGCGCGAGTTTGGATGCAGAGGCTGGGAGGATGAAGTTGTAACTCAAGAAATGTTATCGACTTCATTTGCAAGGCATCGAACGTATCACGGAAGCCAAAATAACAGTGAGGTCGACAACGTCAGCCATCCACCCATCAGATAGTGTCCGGTAGTGTCGTGTGACTAAAGGCTAGGACTGGACAGGCAGGGCTTGCCGAGAGGCGGGGTTACATGCATTTTACCCCGCAAAATCATCAGAACAGTATTAGGGAGTAAGCTCAGTTGTTAGCAGCATTTACGGCTAACGAGTGGCAGCTCTGAGGATGCAGCTGGAATTGGCATTCAAGGTACCACAACCGCATATTCAGTGAGTGGTTGGGGCTCTCAGAGAGCGAACGGGCCTTCAGTCATCCTATTTTGCTGTCTATTGTTTGGCTGAGAATTCCTCCGCATTTGTGACAGGATGGCTCTCGGGGATTGAGCCAGGAGAGGCGCTGGATGAAGCCCAGTTCTTCAGCATTTTGACAGAGCTGGAGCTAGTCTTACGAGTTAAGTTCGACTCCGGCACTTCTGCCAATTCTTTCAGGTGGAAACATCCGTAGCAATTACGGAATTAGGACTGAAATACTCGGTAAATTGGTAGATTTAGGGTCTACACGGGCTATCTCTGGAAGCGATCGCGATAACAGCTATGGATTGGATTTGGGTCTCCAGCATTGAGCTACATTAGTTACCCGACTTAGTTTACAGGGATCGGGAGCAGGGATCGGCTCGGCTTCCAAGGCGTCGGGTGACTTATCAGGATTCGGAACAGCGTATCTGTTCACTATCTTAGGTTTGTCTCTCTTTTTGCTAACCACTTCCGGGTATGTCTGGACGACGTCTAAGTTCAACCACAAACCCCCGTGCCTCTGTGTTTCTTGACAATCGCCACTTTCGTAGGGAGCGGATCTTTCTTAGCCGGTGGTCCTTTGCCAACTTATGCCCGGTAACTTTACGACGAGTCTTACAGCAGGTCACGCTTAGGCAAATTTCTCAGGCGTTCCGGTGCAAGGTGAACTATGTGAATTACCTTGACACCGTGTATACTGGCTGTGATCAAATAACTGTGAATTTCTACGAGTATCTGTCGAGAAGACTTCATACGCTTGGATCCTGCCTGCCAATATGATACAATGACATCTATTCAGCGACATCGAACTCGACAGTCCCCCATCCCTCAAACGTACAAGACCAGCGACCAGCTTCCTGCATCGGCACTGCCTGCAGGCAGCTACCAGGTAGGATGACCTGCCCTGCATCGAACCCAACATCATATCTTGCAAGTTTATTCGCTAGCCAGGCTACGGCAGACAGTGGATTTCCGAGCACATTTCTGGTGTTGCCCGACATGACCTCCTTATCATTGAAACGTAGCATCCCTCTCGTGTTGCTCAAGGTGAGATCGGTAAGTTGGCGGGGTGTACCACCTAGGATGACGGCGCCGGTTGATCCGTTATCAGCCAGAGTGTCCGGGAGGTCAATGGCCCAGTCTCGTACCCTGGAGTCGATAATCTCTATCGCGGGGATGGCGTAGTCTATGGCGTTGATGACGTCGGCGACAGTGACATTTGGTCCTCTTAGAGGGCCTTTAAGGACGAAAGCTGGCTCAAGCTCGACATAAGGCTTGATAAAATCCTTGAGGCTCAGAGTCGTTCCCTCGAAGATGAAAGTGCTCGCGAGGAGGAAGCCATAGTCGGGTTGGTCGAGGCCAAAGGCGTCTTGCATGACCTTTGCGATGTTGCCCAGTTTATATCCAACGACTCTGTCGCCATCTTGACTAACTGCGTTCTTGACGGTGACCTTTTGGTCTTCAAAGGCGCTATCCGGATCGAGACTTGTCCACTTCTTGGTTGGGGGTTCAATCGGCTCTTTGCTGATACGGGCAGCACGAAGAGCTGACGATATCTCTTGGAGTTCAGAGTCCTGCATTGCCTCTCTATAATCTTCACGTTGGAGAATAGGTTTGATCTGAGAAGGCAGTCGATGAGTAGAACAATCGGTCAAGACTCCTTGTATTTGTGCCATTTGCCTTATGGTGAGCTATACGCCTCGGCATCGAAGTGATAACACTTCCACATCCGGTGTGGACCCCGAAGCATAACGTCACGAATCTGTTATCAGAGAGTCCATTAAAGCCATCGACTTTCATTAGTATCCGAGACGCCGAGTACCTATCATCTGCATTCGAGGTTGATAATACCGGATCTGTTGGTCGTTGTCAGCAACGGAATACCCGACCCATGTCACCCGAGACTAGCCAATTCCCACACCTCCCGGCTAGATCTTCCGAATGGGGACTTTCCACAAGGCGATCGTCGTTTAAAGCTGAACCTGATGGTTTCTGCGTCTCTGTCTATCCTCAGCTCCTTACCCCACACAAGGCTAGCAAATCCTTTCTCGGTAGATTCTGGCGGAGGAGCTCGATGCCGAAGGTTGCTCATCTTCAACTTGGGGATTCAGTGCGCGAGAAGCTGCCATCAAACAAGTTCCGAGACGGGAATCCATACTGATCGCAACTACAAGTCAGAGTGTTGAAGGAAACATAAGGTACTAGAGTAATCCACGTGCCTTCTCGTGGGGTTAGAGAGGCGGATAAGAATACTGTGGAGTCCTCGGTGAACCAGGCATATTACCTTGAACCCATGCCCGAGACCATGCCTAGCGTCCGAGCATTGCGTGTCCGAAACGATGGGACCAATCCGGGGTAGGTTGTAATGGGCAACTATTGATAGGTCGTCCTGAATCTCTTCCTTGTTCTCAGTGACATTCGATGGCCCACACTAAGGTTTCCTGGTATTCTTAAGTTCAGGAGCCCCCTAATCCAAGACGTCTGCCATTCAAACTTCACATATCTTTTTCAAACCTGCTCCAGACATCTCTAGATCCGAAGTATCTCAGAATTTATTCCATCATCATCAGCATTGTGTCAACTCTGCTTTGCTGGGCAATATGAGCTCCCCGTCAATCACCTCAGAGCCAAAGGCCTCGGTCACAAAGATGAATTCCAAAACCAGTGACAAGACTGAAGTTGTCAATGGGGAAATATTACACACTCCCGAACATTTGCAACGACATCTTACTCCCCGACAAGTCCAATTCGTAGCTATCGGTGGCTCTATTGGGACTGCCCTATTTGTGAGTATCGGGTACGGGCTCATGCGAGGAGCGGCAAGTCTACTCATTGCATTCGTGCTCCACGCCTTGGTTATTGCCCAAGTCAACAACTCACTTGCGGAGATGACCGTCTTCATGCCCATAAGCGCTGCATTTATTCATCACGCCAGTGCCTGGGTTGATGATGCTTGGGGTTTCATGATCGGGTGGAACTTCTTCCTGTTCGAAGCGCTTCTCATACCGTTTGAGATCACCGCTTTGGACATGGTCTTGACCTTTTGGAGAGATGACATCCCTTCAGCTGCGGTTATTACCGTTTGCATTGTGCTCTACGCGTATGTACTATCTTGTCAGTTGGACTCGAAGGATATCCTAGTACTAAACTGCCCCCGGTCAGCCTTTGCAATGCACTCATGGTCAAGTACTTTGGTGAAACAGAGTTTTGGCTCGCAGGGGGTAAACTTCTCCTCATTGGAATACTGTTCTTCTTCACCTTCATCACTATGGTTGGAGGTAATCCGCAGCGTGATGCATACGGATTCCGTAATTGGTCCAAGCCTGTATGACACCATGACCTCCTTCACGCCTGTCGATGTTGTATCGTATATCGCTTACTTAAAGAACAGGGTCCTTTTGTTGAGTACATTGACGATAGCGACTTGGGCCGCTTCCATGGGTTTCTCGCCGCACTATGGCAAGCCGCTTTCACCATTGTCGGCCCTGAATACCTGGCCACCGTTGCTGGCGAAGCGCAGCGGCCGCGATCAACCATGAAAGCAGCCTTCAAATCCGTGTACTGGCGATTCGGGCTCTTTTTCATTGGCGGCGCGTTGTGTGTTGGCATTATCTTGCCGGCCAACGATCCGACGCTCCTGAGTGTCCTGAGCTCGGGCGAGACGGGCACCGGAGCCGCCTCACCTTTCGTCATTGCCATGAAGAACATGAACGTTGGGGTGCTACCTCATTTAGTCAACGCTCTACTGTTGACGAGTATCTATTCGGCCGGCAACGCCTACGTATACTGCTCTTCTCGCAGTCTTTATGGGTTAGCATTGAATGGCCACGCTCCGAGGTTTCTTACAAAATGCACCAAGCAAGGTGTTCCCATCTACTGCCTGTTTGTTGCACTCGCCTTTGCTTGTCTCTCATTTCTAAAGTTGGGCAGTGGCTCCGTGAAGGTTTTGACTTGGTAAGTTGATGATCCATCTTCACTGCGGCCTGTTCTAATGACAACGTGCTGGATGCACTAATATGAGTTGACCTTCAAAGGCTCACAAATCTCATCACTGGCGGGACTCTGGTGACCTACATCGTCATTTGCATCAACTATCTCTTCTTCTACCGAGCTTTGAAAGCCCAGAACTTCAACAGATCCGATCTCCCCTACCGCGGATATCTCCAGCCTTACGGCACTTGGGTTGCTTTGGTCTGGCTTATGGCGGTGGAGATCTTCTATGGGTATGCCATCTTCTTGCGGGGCCGGTGGGATAGTGGCATCTTCTTCAGTAATTACACCATGGGCTTTCTCGCGATCTGTCTGTTCTGCGGCTGGAAGATACTCAAGCGCACTCAGTTCGTCAGGCCCGAGCACGCCGATCTGGTTTGGATCCGCCCGGCAGTCGACGAACACGAGGCGGCGATGGCGGGTAACGAGAATGAGGTCGGGCTCCGCAGACGCCTAGCGCAATTGGTGAGGGTCGACATGAAACTCAGTCGGGCGTCCCGGAGTCCTCGGGTTTAGTTTACAACCTTTTGTTTATGAATACAGTACTGTGTACATATCGGGCTGCAACGCTGTTCTTGACACAATTCCGAGGTGTTAAGGTCCGGAAATCGGACTCGCACTCGCACGATTGAATCGTTCATAGCTACACTGCGCTCTTGGTAATTGTTGAATGCGAATACCTCACAGGCAAGCATTGTACCGAGCACTGCATGCCGATGACTGCGGTGGCTTCTAATTGCCACTGCTTCGGCTGGTCCCTACGTAAACAACATCGGATAATACCTTTCAAAACCTCTGACGCCATTGCTCTCCAGCCACTGTGCGGGGAAGGGGTCCCGGGGCGGCAGCAGGGTCCTATCATCTTGAGATGCAGGGCAAAGAGCTCATCGTGGCGCTGTTAAGGGGGCCCTGACAGACAATCAGGGGCTTTGTGGCGGGCCTCGTTTGGCTCCTGATGGTCCCATTGTGCATCCCTCTGGGTCTGTTTGGCCTGGTTCAGAAGCTTTTAGAAACATCAGAACAAGCTACGTGGCAAGGGCCCGAGAGTGCCCAGACTTTAACGTGTTCGTTTACATACCAAGAGCCGTGCCGACTCCCGGGGCTGTGTCTGCGCGGTGGGCCGTGAACCTTGACGCGGTGTTCCCGATTGGATCGACAGAGAGGATACGCGCGGACATTCTGAGTCGGGACTTTCATAAGCCTCACCCCACCATGGCGGCGGTGTAAATATTCTTAGGTACGGAGATCCGTACATGTATCACAAGCTTCGTTGATCCATTATTGGAGGCTCAAGGAAGTTTATATAACCTTCGCTTCCCCGCATCTTAGCTCTCGATCTCGTAGCATCTGACTCTGAGACATCTCTGATCATCAACATAATACCCAAGTTCGAATTGTATTTTTTGTAACAAAACCAATCATCATGAGTTACTACGGCAATAACGGTGGACACCAGCAGGGTGGATACCAGCAAGGTGGCTACCAGCAAGGAGGAGGCTTCCAGCAGCAGGGAGGTCATCACCAGGGCGGCTACCAACAAGACCGTCCTCCTTCTGGTGAGGCCGGCTCATACTATGGCCAAGGTCAGCAAGGTCAGCAGCAGTTTGGCACGCAACATGGATACGGCCAAGAAGGATACGGACAACAGCAAGGAGGCTACGGCCAATCTCAACACCAATCGGGACCCCCTCCCTACCAGAACCAGGGCAACTACGGCAACCAGGGCTACCGCAATGACGGCCCGCCGGGATCCAACGGCCCGGAGGGCGAGGATGGCGAGCGTGGCCTGACCGGTGCTCTCGCTGGTGGTGCCGCCGGCGCTTTCGGCGGTCACAAGGTTGGCGGTAACTTCGGCCACAGTAAGACCAGCACTTTCATTGGTGCTGTTGCGGGAGCTTTCGCCGGACACAAGCTACAAGATGGTGTGTCCGACTGGAAGGACAAGCGGGACGAGGAGAAGAAGCACGAGCACGACCAAAAGCATGACCACGATCGCCCTCACTCTCCTCCCAAGGACCATCACCACGGCCACCACGACGATCGCCATGGTGACGACAAGCCTCGCAGTGGAAACTACGGCGGTGGCTTCACCGGCTCATCTAGAGACATTCGTCTCGACGCCCACGGAGAGTACAACCTCCATGCCTCCTGCAAACGCCGTGATGGCGAGTGGCAGAGCAGCACCATCAGCTTGAACAGAATTCTCGAGAACGACCACGGCAGCTTCCGTTGGTCCTCTGGCGGTGGCGGTGGCGGTGACTCTTCCGTGACCGTCCAGCAGGGCGACACTCTCCGCAACATTGCCGCGAGATTCAACGTGGGATTCGAGGAGATTGCGAGACACAACAACATCCCCAACCCGGACCAGATCTGGCCCGGTCAGGTCCTTCAGATCCCCGGCCGCGGTGGAAACTCCGGCGGCAACTTCGGCGCCTCGGCGCGCGATGCCCGTCTGGTTCAGGGCGGCCAGGTCCTCGAGGCCGAGCTGTCCCGCAACGGCCAGTGGGTGCGCAGCTCTGTCAACTTGGATGAGAGGATAGGAAACAACAACGGAACCCTGCACCTTGTTTGAGGGACTGCGATGGAACGAGCATAAAAGCGGATTGAAAATTTATTCTAGCGATACACAAAATTGAGAATGTGACCGGATGGTCATGAGTGGCATTGTAACCACGTCAAAATCTTTGGCTTTCTTTCATGTTGACTCTCAGCGTGCAGTCCATTTGACAGTCAAACTCACACTCAACTTGTCACATCCTACTATAGACGCGTGCTAATGCCGCCGGTCACGATCATCTTGATCGTCAAGTAGTCCTCGAGTCCATATTTGCTGCCTTCCCGGCCAAAGCCAGAATGTTTGACACCTCCAAACCTAGCAAGTGTTAGATTTCATGTATAGATGATTCGAATCACGGTTACTTACGGCGCAGAAGCATCTGAGATGACACCAGTGTTGATGGCAACCATACCGAACTCTAGGAGCTCTGATACTCGGGTTGACCTGGCTAGGTCGTTCGTGATGACATATGATGCCAGTCCGACTTCAGACTTGTTAGCCCTCTCAATGACCTCCTTTTCAGTTGAAAACTTCGTTAGAGCCGCAAGAGGACTAAACGTCTCTTCTTGTGTCACTTTCATCGAGTCGTCGACGTCTCCGAGGATGGTGAGCTCATAAAAATTCTTGCCGGCTGATGGTAATCGGTTGCCGCCTAGCAAGATCTTTGCGTTCTTGGCGACGGCGTCCTTGATATGCTCCTCAACCTTGCCAACGCCGTTGGTCAAGGGTCCGTGGGTGACCGACGCGTCTGTGCCGTTGCCAACTCGGAACTTTCTGACTTCCTCCACCAGCCTCTGACTAAACCTGTCATAAATGCCCTCCTGCACGAAAATCCGATTGGCGCACACGCACGTTTGGCCAGTGACCTTGAACTTGGATACAAGAACGCTGGAAATTGCGATGTCCATGTCTGCATCATCAAACACGATGAAGGGCGCATTGCCTCCTAGCTCAAGGCTCAATTTCTTAAGGGTGTTGCTTGACTGCTGCATCAACAACTTGCCAACTCTTGTCGAGCCCGTGAAAGATATCTTCCTCACGACGTCTGACTCACATAGAGCAAGCCCAAGATGAGGTGTGTTTTCTAGTGCAGTGACAACGTTGAAGACTCCAGGAGGTACGCCAGCCCTCTCGCAAAGCACAGCTAGCGCGTTTGAAGAGAACGGTGTAAGTCCATCAGACTTCATGACAACGGTGCACCCAGCTGCAAGAGCTGCTGACACCTTGCGAGCGCCCATCGCTAGAGGAAAATTCCAAGGCACGATCAAGCCACAGACGCCGACAGGTTCTTTGATGACCCGGGTCCTGTAAGTCGGGTTGCTGTGGGGAATGACGTCTCCGTAGATCCGAGCGGCCTCTTCGCCGTACCACTCGAAGAAGCTTGCTCCAAACATCACCTCGCCCTCGGCATCCGCTTTTGCTTTGCCATTCTCGGCGGTGATGATCTTGCCGAGATCTGCTTGGTTGTCAACTAAGAGGTCGAAGATGCGCCCGATGATACGGCTTCGTTGACGGCCGGATAATGCTTTCCATTCAGTGAATGCCTTGGCTGCGGCATCAATGGCATTGTTGAGGTCGCCGATGGTTGACTCAGGACATGTCCCGATGAGCTCCTCTGTTGCCGGGTTGGTGACCTGAAAGGTTTTACCAGAATCTGACGACGTCCATTGACCGTTGATGTACGACTTCTCGACAAAGAGGCTAGGGTCTTTCAAAGAGGATGCGAAGGAAGACATTGTGAGGGAATATCAGACAGGAAGTCGATGCGCGAGGTGATAACGATTGATGCTCAAGGACCTGTGTAAGATGGAGCGATCTCCTATTCGCGGCATTTCGCCCAGGTAGTTGACAGGATTCATCTTTATCGTCTCATGACACCGGTAGTCGTTCATCGGTGCCACGTCCCACATACTGTCTTGATAGGGAAACTGAAATGAGAGCCGGACACCCAAGCGCGTCTTCGGTGCGGGGTTCGGAGGGACAAGCAGGTCTCGGGACTAATGACCGCAAGCGGGGGCGCGAGTGACAGGGATCGGGTGCGATCTCGGATCGGCTTCCTTGTGAACATCACACTCAATGATGAGAAGCCGAGATGGTTGCATGTCAGATATCGCGGAATTTCTTACTCGAAAAGATTAGAATCACAACAATGAAACGAGGCACGTGTGAACGCATGCATTGCTTGGCCCTGGATGAGATATCGACAATCTTTTTTGGCTCGGAGGTACTGTCAGGCGGCCTGATGCCCAACAAACTCGAGGTGGCACACACACCGTCGGCGATGGCTGTGCTAACGTTGTGCCTGTGAAACATGAGCTGTGCATCACACCTCTGAGTTCTTAATTATATCAAGAGGCCTTCGTTATGGTGAGAAGAGAATATCGTAGCTATCAAGACATATCGAAACATTTGTGTTGCCATAATTACTCTACTTACGAGAACTCATAAACCCCGACCCATCAACTGTAAACACAGCTATGGCTGATATCGCGTTCGCAACTCCATCCCCTTTGGCAAAGCTCAGCTTCACGCCCATCATCAAGGACAACCTGAATCCAGCTACCCCAGCCAAACCCGAAACATTCAACCCGGACAAGCATCTTGCATTCGTCAACGATCCCAAGAAGTTGTCTCTCAAAGATGTTTCTCTGCCCGAGGATATTGGAATCTCTCAAGTGGCCTGCTCGGAGCCGTTCCCTCTCTTTACTGAAGAGGCCATCCAGTACATGAGACGAGAGATCTTCACGACCGAGGTCTGGGAGAACTGCCTTCACAGCACCAGGTTCGCGCCCTGTCAGTTGCGTGGCCACTGCCCAAAGTATGTTATTCACCATTTAGACGAGTCAAAAGTTATCGCAGAGCTCACATAGGAGGCAGGTACGCGCCGTTCATGAACCAAGCCTGGAACGATCCGAAGACTTTGTCTGTCATTTCCCAAGTCGCTGGGGTGGATCTCATCCCCAACATCCAGTACGAAGTTGGCAACATCAACATCTCCGTACAGAGCAAGACCGGCGACCAGGAAAACACCCAGATGAATGCTGGGGACAACACCTCCGTTACAAAATGGCATTACGATGCTTTTCCTTTCGTGTGTGTTGTCATGATGAGTGATGCGACGAACATGGTAGGTGGGGAGACAGCTATCAAGACGGGAACGGGCGAAATTCTCAAGGTCAGGGGCCCGCAGATGGTATGTGCAATCCTTTCATATGCAGCTGATTTGATTATTTGATGTGTTGACTTCTAGTAGGGATCTGCAGTCATTCTTCAAGGCAGATATGTCGAACATCAAGCACTCGCAGCCATCGGTGGTGCCGAGCGTATCACAATGATCACATCTTTCCGTCCCCGAAATCCTTGTACGAAGGACGACTCAGTCCTCACATCCATTCGACCAATTTCTGAGCACTCGGAGCTTTACTACCAATGGGCCAAGTACAGGGTTGAGGTGGTGCAGGAGCGGCTCCAGGCATTCCTCAGGACTCTGGTAGAAGACCACGCAGGAGACCAGCCGACGGATGTCGGAAGAATCAAGGAATTCTTAGTCCAACAACGGGACTATATTGCAATTACTGATGAGGAAATCGTGGAAACGCGAGGACCACACCTTGCCTGGGAGGGAAGTTGATTTGCGGGTTGTCTTGTCAAGTGTGCAGCTTAAAGGGTCAAACTTGTGAAATCTCTGGCGAACAAAACCCTTGTCGCTAGGATCAATGTGATTGGAATACACGTAAGCTGTTGTTCATACACATTCATGAGTTTTCATAGATCGACATGACTCTAAAAGGAAGTTACTTATGCTGATGTTGTTGTCTAAAGTCCCGTGCGTGTAGATGCTACTAGTACTTTAGTGATCACTTCAAAGTATACATTTCCCTGAGCCGTGAATGCGTTGGGTTCAGTCATTGGCCGAGTATCCTGACTTCTCGTGAACCATCCGAATCCTTTCTCTTCCTTAAATCAGGTAGTGCACTATGCTATTGGTGAATCAATTAAGTCTCTGCTGGGCCTGAGGTCGTGACTACTGAACTTTGCGACGTGGAGCAAATGCCAACATATCTGAGCGCCTAAGAGCAGGCAGCTCCAAAATCGGCAAGGAAAAAGGCGAATGACGGCGATTATCGTTTTCATCACTGTCTCTCTGTGGTCCCATGTCGGCGACAAGCGGCCGGGAAATCCCTGATTCGGCTGAACTACTTAAAGCTCTCCGTGAAGCCGCGATAACGATGGCTGCGATGGCTGCACTGGTGCACAACAGCAAGGCTAAGAAAAGAATTGGAGGAGAAATTCGAGGAAGTGCAAGTCCGATATCACCACAACTAAATATGGCCGCAGCAGTTACCAATGGTTGAGACACCTAGATACGAGTCAGATTGATACACCGGGAGGAGAACGAAGGAGGAATAGCTTACTAGAGTAACCCAAGAAAGTCTGGTCAAATCCTTACTTTGATTACGTGCGAGATGAAGCGATCGGTTTGCCTGAACCTATAGATATACGAGTTAATCAAAGGCAACAACGTTACGACGATTGGGCAGATCGATGCGTACATGGTCTTGTTCTAGAGTCAGTATCTCTCGTAAGGCGCCTAGAGAGCGTTGACAATCGCTCAGTCCGTCACACGTTGTCTTCAAGTCCAGCCCAGCATCCATGTAATGTATCGAATCGCTAGCTTCCGATGATTTTAAGCAAAGCTCAAGTGCCTGCTCGTATTTTCGCACGTCGTCTAATGTGGCAGACAGTGTTGAGAATAATTGAGCGAGAATACTACAAGTGCGACGAGGCCAGTCGAAGTCGATTGCACTATCTCCTGTCCGAAAACCTGCACGCTTTTCTTTATTGAGAGCAAGCTGGGGAGACTGTTAGTGGATAGTCTAAGTTTGTTCACGCAGGTGTCATGGACTTGCCAGTCTGTTCACTTGACCCTCAAAGTGGAGCGTGAGGCTCGCCCATTCTTCCCCGATAGACTGTAGACGAATACTGAATACACGAAAGAAGTATAGTCGAGGATTCCATAACGGTCGATCGCAGGTAGCTCTTCCGAGGGTTATGGGGTCCAATGGACAATCGTATGGATCTTCTGGATCTTCAGATGCGTACTCGGCCAGTGCGTCGCAGCTTGATTCGTCATTGAAAAACGCGTCGGCGAAGGAGAACACTTTCCAACTTTTCTCATCGTTTCCAAGAACGATGAATGATACGTGGGCTTGATAGAGGAAGCCAATGTCCCCGTCTTGCAGGTGGTCTTGACTCCTAGAAGAGGGGCCGGAAACCTTAATACACTGACGAAGGGGCGTCAAAACGCCACTATCTCGATGATCATGCATGATGTCAATGGACCTTCTCCAAGCAAAATAAGGCAGATGGAATTGCAAACAAAAGTTTGCAGACGACATTCGCTGCATCTTGAGAATATCAGACCATGTACTTTAACGAAGAGGGTTATACACCAACTCACATCTGAGGCAAAATCAAAATGAGCACGAAATGTGAGATGCCTGAATATACCATCTCTAAGAGCTCGCCGCTCTGTCCGGAAACTTGTCGCAGCGAGCACCAATGCCGCCCAACGGTCAAAATCTGTTATATAACTGAAATAGTGAGTCCATGAACGTAAATTGTTGGATCGCATAATTGGATCATACATCAGGCGCCTTTCGTTGTCCATGCCACGCAGCCCAGTATTCGAACGCTACAAATCGATGAGAATTTGTTCAGCTATAGTGACAGTCAAAAGTAGCACTCACCTTGTGCTTCAACACTCTAAGCAGGTGGTCGGCGCTCATAACTTTTGGCCGAGGCGAAGTGTCTTGCTTCCTGTACCCCCTTTGATCCATCCAGATGTTCAAACTAGGGGAGTTAACTTGACTCAAATTCTCGACTGTAGCTCCTCGACAAAAATCACGAAGGAAGTTGGTTTTGTGTGAGGACCGTTCTTGATAAGGGCCAACAAACGAGGCCCAGATATCATCATCAATGCCATCGCCCACTCGGGCAAGCTCTTCCATCAGCATAACGGAGTCTGAGGGTGAATGGCTTATACTGATGGGAACACGGCTCATGTTAGATTTCGGAGGTGTCGGCAGTAGCCGCCACTCTGTCTGAGTTGATGCATTTCTCATCGTGACTCTGGCCTTGAAGCCGTGTGCTAATGCCTGATGTGTGTTATTCTGTCGATTGTGATTCTGAACATTTATGTTCTCGAATTTCAGTTTAGGAAATAATCCCATAGACGATAGATCTTGGAAGGTTTCGGCGGCTGGAACAATGTAGCCTGTTTCGCTACCCGGGCATCCTCTAATGACGTGGCCGTAGAAGACACCCGATTGTTGGTCTATGACAGCTGTACCGGAGTCACCCTGAGTGAATTCACCCTCATAAAGCTGCACAATCTGCAGCCTTTGAATTGTGTTGAAGTTTGGGTTCTGGAACAGAGTAGTACCAGGTACAAGGAAGCCTTTGCGGACTACATTGGCGTCCCCTATCAGAAAGACTTCCTTCGTTTCAAGACCGGCCGATGCCACGTCACAAACATTGACACATCTGTATCCGTATCCGTGGGGTACAACAACTCTGTTAGAGAAGTCAGACACGATGGGTGCAGGAGTCGAAACTAAGACGTAATCAAGTTCATGACGAGAGCCTTCACTGGCCCGAAAGGCGATGAAGCCTATTCGGATTGGAGGTTGTGGATAAGTCGGGCCATCTAAGGTGTTGTGAAACTGAGATGCGTGGTTGGTATGAAGAGGGATACTGAGCTTATCGGGGGTAGAAGCGGTATCAGCATTCAAGGGACGTGAAACCCTATCGTCGTGACTCAAGACAAGTTCACCGCCCGCAGATTCTTCGTCCCAGTAAGAGTCGGCGGATTGAGCAAGTGAAATCGAGCTTCGTGAAAAGCGAGATGTAGGTGTGATGCTCCCTTGGCTCAGAATGTCAAAGTTGGATTGCAACGTCTCCTCATTATCCAACTGGCCATAATCTTCATCGTCGCTTCCATTTACGGAAAGCGTGTCGGTGTCTAGGTCGAAGTGTGATGTGATCTTCCCTTCCGCGGAGGGACTATCACACTCATGCTCCGAAGTCAACTGATAGTGGTTGCCGTTGACTAGTAGGAAAATTCCACCCGTGGCCCAGTATTCGAGTTCTCCAGCATGTCGGCAGCGCAGTAGGCTTCGTCCTATTTTCAGCGAAGCCGAGTGAGAATAAACATCGTTGTCATACAGGAACTCTGTATTTGAGCTTTCTGGGAGAATGCTGGGAGAGCTTGTTCTCGCTAGTGCTTGTGCTGGGGTTCGCTGTTCCAGAGGATGTGGAATTCCGTGGATTTGGAATTCCGAAAAAGCTTGAAGAGCTTGGCTACCTCGCAGTTCGTCTTTGACCCGAGATCTAATAGCGTTGTTCATGCAACAGACCATTATCGTCGGCTCAGAGCTCCTTGTTGTTGAACCAATCATGTATAAACGAAAGTAGACCTCTGGGCGATCAAGTCCAATGCTCTTGAACACGTCGTGAACGATGCCTTCAATGTCATCTTGGTACTTTCTGAGTGCAGGTCCTTCAGCGTACCAAGCTTTCTTACGTGTAAGCACAGAGTTAACGATGACCCTGCCGCAAGAGTGTTCTGGATCTCTCCATCTGGACCGTCGAAAGAGAGGCATAATTTGAGAGAATGCTGAGACGTTCGGTGACGATGCTTGAATTGTTAGCTCAACGTTTGATATGATTAATAAATGCGAGAGCAATGGGATGAAAGGGCTGAAATGGAAGTGTAAAAACACCAAACAAGTCTTTGCCTGGCAAATCCTACCTACTTCAGAAGTGAGGCGGAAAGTGCAACAATATTCATGGCCTCTTGAAACTTCATTGGTCGACGGAATAGCGCTACTCTCAGGCGGCGTCCACAGAATCATGGATTTCGGTAAGACTCAATAGTTTGTTTCGCATGGTGGGCGCCAATATTTTTGCATTCGCCCAATCGGAGAGGCTGCGGACAATCACTGGCTATGACCATGCATGCCGCACAGTTGTGCGGGAAGGAAATTCTCATGAAAGAAAAGGACTGTACATCCTAATCGCGGCTACCAGGCATTAGTGGTCGCACATCGCCAATAATCACAGACATCCAATGCGTGGAAGGTTTCCCTTAAGCCCAAGAACTGGCTGCTGACTCCTAACTATAATATCAGGTAGGGATAACCCAACAGTCGTGAAACATTTCTTCATCCATGTTGTAGACCTCTATGATTGCATTATGCTACGATGATCGAATTAAGAGAACCCGATGCAGAAAAGCTTGTCAGTCTCCTCTGGAGCCCTCCGAAACCCGACGTTCACGCTCAATTTGGCAGATCACCCACAAGAGGTCCGTGTGGTACATCGGCGTACAAGAACTACTGCCATCGTCAGTGGGGCTTGATTGCGGGATATTTCAATGGCCATTACATAACTCTCAACAGTCTTACAGAGCTCAGCTCTCTAATTCAATATCTCCTCAAGACAGACACAATCACAAGAGGCCAGATAGATGCTTATTTGAAATCTAATCAGCGTCAAATATTAGATCAAAAAGCAGTGGATACCACAATCAATCTCACTCTTCGCCTCCTGCTCATGCTTCGATTCGGCCCTGTTGAAGGGGAGGAATCTCTTGACCATTACCTTCTTTGGGGCTCTGGTTCCTTGAAGGATTGCGTACGGTCTCACCTAGAGGATTTGCCTCATCTCAATATTGAAGGGATCCGTTTCCCGAAGAGCTTCAATGCGTGGAGTCTAGTCACAATTGGGGGCATCAAGATTGAACTAACAGACAATCTAGCCGACCACCTGTTGCTGATAGAGGACGAGAATGATTTGAGAGTTTTGATATTCCACCATGTATCGTTCCTTCGATGCCATCAAAGGCGAGTAATGGAGCTCCTCGCAGATAACTGATGGATACATTCATATTGATGCCAATGCCAAACTAGTTCGTTCTACCCTCAGGTATTTCTCAAGGAGACTGAAGATACGTTGCAATTGCTATTCCCCGAGGCAGAATTTGGGGGTTTGGGATGTTCCAAACGTCGTCGGTCGTCATGGCTTCAAAAGCTGCTTTCCAAACAGCCGTGTCTTCCAGCTGATTGGAGACTTGGCGCAAGCGGCACACTTCACGCGGAAGCCCGAAGGATCGAGAGGTTCAACTTCTGGAGGAACCGATTGATTGTCCTCAAGCAGGCGTACGATGATGCCACTCCTCGTACGCTGGCTCAATGGTGGTATGACCGGCGGAACAGGGTCATTTGGTGCACTTTCTGGTTGGCAATCCTGGTTTTGGTGCTTGGAGCGTTGGTGGGCGTCGTTCAGTGTGTTCAAGGGGGCTTACAAGTTTCGAAATCATGAACCACCTAAACCTCGAAGAAACATAGATAATGGATGAAGAGGAAGGCATGCGGGAAGCGGTAATAATCATGCAATGAAGATTAAATCTAACTGATGCACGCCCCTCATTCTGGCTCAGGCATGCGTTCCTTTCTTTTCGGCAATCTTTCTCAGCTTATGCTGCAGCTTTAGAATGGTATCTAAGTCTATGCCACGTCTAAGGCCTTACCATGACGCGATTAAAATATTCCTATATCCTAATTCATTCAACTTGACCCATCGGCCAAGTTGCGGCGATTGATCAGATGGTCCTGCCTGGCTAGATGGGCGAACAAGGCACGAGAGTGCATCCAAGCATCGCTTGTGCCCCAGCGACGATCCCGCCAATCCGCAAGTCTTTAGACTACGTTCTAGAACTTCTGAGTCAACAGGCCCAGCTCCAGAATGACGTTGGAAGGGAAACCGAGGCATCGGACGACTCGACTCAAGACTTCTCAGCAACTTTTACTCAGCAAGAACCGTAGAAAGGGACCAATTCAACACATAGCAGCTGAAGAAAATCCAAGAACAGACGATAGCCAAGGCACCAAGCCGATTCGGCGAACTTGGCACACCAAATGCGGCGCCAAACCATGCCGGCCATCCGGCGCCGAAGACCAACGGCGCCCCAATTGGTCACTCCACGAAGACGCTCGGGTCCGCACCAATGTATCGGAATGTGGCGGCACCTCGGGATTCTTCAACGGGGCCCTTCGGTGTGGCTCGGCATTGGCCGAGGTCCAGCAACAACAGCACAAGGCATTGTGGCTCAGCACCTAAAGCCACAATCACGTTGTCTGGGATGGACCTTGACTCTTCTAAGGCTTCGCCTTCGGCCGCTCGAGCCGTTTAGCGACTTGGGGGCGCTGGTTGCGGCGTTCTCAGTGACGTGGGACTAGGTTTTTCGCTGTCTTCCGTGCGGAGACCGATTGCGCGGCCCCTCATGACATGGTGACATGAGCCAAGTTGCTTCCATTATCCTAGTGTAGGCTGGGGGCATTGGCAACTTAGCGTTCTCCGGTCGGGACGAAATGACGCACGAAGGGTCTGGCAGCACTATGCTGGGCAGATGAACGCATCAAGCAGGCGATCTATAAAGTGGAATGATTCTCCCCTTCATCATGACTGATTGTCTTATTCATCATCACAACAAACCACAATTACAAGAACACTTGAGCCTCTCATTGAGAACCAAATCCAAACTCAAAAACTTCCAACCAACACTCAACCTACCAGTTGACATTGCAACTACCAACTACGACAAAGTCGCACAATCAAATTACCTGCGGCAGACCTAAAGTCAACGAAATCTTCACAACCTGCAAGCTCAACTACCTTCAGCCCATATTTGCAAACAACACAAGATGTGCTTCGGCCTGTCGAGACGCAGAGGATACGGAGGTGGCTACGGCGGTCCTGGCTACGGCCCCCGCCCAGTTATCGTACAGACCCACCACCACGGCCATCACGGCGGCGGCATGATGGGTGGACCTAGACCATGCGGCCCCCGACCCGGCTTCGGCGGCGGCGGCTTTGGCGGACCCGGCAGACATGGATACGGCGGCGGCGGTAGGGGTGGAGGATGGGGAGGCCGCGGTGGTCGCTGGTAGACTCGGGGATGACTTACGACGATTTTTACGGAATGATTTGCATGCATTAGAATTGTATACCACGGCGGGAACATGATTTCAAGGGCACAGGCGTTTCAAAGCTTCAAAGCTTCAAAGTTTCAACAATCAGATTAGTAATCGACATACATCAAAGACACACACACTACCTTACGTCATTGCACAAAACCACATGCATGTCTGATCAGTTCGCACTCGCACGGGATGGCTGTTTGCCTCCCTTGAAAATGCTGAAGATTAGATTGTTCCGACGGGCCGTTGGTAACTTGCGCAGTCAGAATACATTGCCATGCCTTTTCGTGTGTCTCAAGGCCAAGGTGCACTGTCGTTATCGAGACCACACTCAAAATTTACCTCCTTAAGCAGACGATGGTGATGTGTTGTGAAAAGATTCAAGGGGGAATTTGAAGAGCCAGAGAAAGCTACGGTACTTAGAGCCAAACCACATGCCTCACCGCGTACACACCCTTTCCGAATGCCCACTCTATCGCTGCTATCACTTGTCGTGCTATGCTGTAGCACGAGGAAAGGACTCGAGGCCAAAGTGAGAATTGTCAGTACTGTGGACGACACCGCATGAACAAAAAACCATGAGGCATCCCTTTCGTTTCTCAACATCCCAACCTTTGGAAGTGCGAGGAGCTAATCCCTTCTCTCGGAATCTAGATCCCGTTCAGTCGTCGCAATCTCTACTTCTCTACAGCATCATTTGTGGTAGAGGTGCGGGGAAGTCCTACCACCCAACTCTACATTTCATACTAGAAGCAAAGGCTTCAGCCAGAAAGCAGCATTTAATCTCTAGAATAGTGCCTTAGGTACCTTTAGTCTCTGGTATCCGACGGGCCGCCGGTCGAACTTTTGCACATATTACAGGGCTGCCCCATGAGAACATCCTTCGGGCGTTACCCCAAAGTCGCCCAAGACGGAACTGCAACTGGTGTATCAGATGGTCTGGATACTGCACGGCCGAAGTAACCTGGCCTCGGCACCCGAGGGGGAAAGCTTAGGCGGACGATATACTTAAGCTCCACCGCCCTGAACACCTCACAGCTCGACATGTTGATAACTAAGGCCCGCAAGCAATAGTGACTCGTGAAAACACGCCGCTATGGAAAACATTTTATCTGCACTGAGCGCCGCACTGGGCACCGGAATCGGCTTATCCTGCGCCCTGGCGGCGGGAGCTGGTCTCCTAGCACACTGGGGCTACTATATCCGCGGGCACAGGAGCATGGAGGTGTTCAATATCTTGGTCATCCACGGCGTCGCACTGATGCTTCTCTTCATCAAGTCCGTCACAAGTCTGGGATTCGCAACGGGTACAACGGCGCATCTTGCAATATCCATCTCTTACTTTGCAGGCCTATTTACCAGTATCGTGGTATACCGCCTAATATTCCACCCTCTACGCCGGTTCCCCGGTCCTTTTCCGGCCAGAATTATGAAGCCCTACATCATGTGGCTCAACAGAGATTGGAAATTGCATGAAAAATATCTCGAGATGCACGAGAAGCACGGAGATTTCGTGCGTGTTGGTGAGGACCCAATAACTCGAGCCAGCGCTGGTGATAATGGAGGCTGAGTACCAGCTAACAGGACCCCAGGCCCCAACGACATCTCAGTCGTCAACCTAGACGCTATCACCAAGATCCACGGACCACAGACAAAGTGCACCAAGCGAAATACCGGATTCTACGACGCCTTGAGGACAAAGGGAGAGTTGAACTTGGATTCTCTTTCGCACAACGAGGCACACCGTGACAGACGTAAAGTCTGGGACCAAGCTTTAGGAAGCAAAGGTGATGCCGCTTCCCCTCTCATTCCACTAGGCCTCAAATCTTCAGGGAGTTTGTCCAAGGAAAGGTTGAATATGCTAATACTCCTCCAGCCCTCGAAAGATACGAAGAAGAAACCCGCACCGTCCTCCGAACCTGGCTATCTCGCCTCGAAGAAGTCCAAGGAAAGCCAATCAACGCCTCGCACTACGCGAAACTCATCCCCTTTGACAATATGGGCCGTGTAGGCTACGGCCGAGACTTCGGTACCGTCCGAGACGGCAGAGAGGATAGGATGCTCGACCTCATCGAGACGACGTTCAAGTTGGGCGCTCGACTGGGGCAGACGCCTTGGCCGCTGGTGTTCCTGGCGAAGCTGCCGCGGATGGGTATGCAAAAGGAGTTTGAGGATTTGGGGGTTCGACTTGTGGATGAGAGGATCGCCGTAAGTTAAGGCCTGCTTGAAGGAACTTTTGAGGAAGTATGGCTGATGACTGGACAGGTTGATTCTGATGAGTCTCACGATATGTTGAAGTACTTCCTCGACGACTACAAGTCTGAGAAACCAAAGTCTTTCTTCAATGTCAATATCATGTATTCCGACTCTCAAGCCATCCTCATCGGAGCGACGTACGTATATATGGGGACTCTTGTTTGGAGAAATCCACATGCTCACTAAAGGCCAGAGACACAATATCCTGCACTTTGGGGTACGCCTTCTATTACATCGCCCGCGACGCCGGACTCCGTCAGCGTCTTTACCAAGAGATTGCGCCTATGCACTCCAAGACTTTGGAAGGGGAATTCGCTGTGACGGACCTCAATAAGCTTGATCTGCTTGAAGCTGTCATCGCCGAGACCCTTCGGATGTATGCGCCCGCGCCGATCAATGGGCCCAGAATGGCTCCGTCGGAGGGTGTAACGATTGATGGGACCTACATCCCTGGAGACGTGACTTTATGTACGCCAATCCACTGCTATCATCGAAGTAAGTCCAGAAACTCGCGTGGGATGTACAAACTTTGATCGCTGATAATCACTATAGGCCACAAGTACTGGAGGTACCCTAATGAGTTCATACCCGAGCGCTGGACGACTCGCCCAGAATTGGTCATTGACCGGAGGGCTTTCTTGCCTTTTAGCTACGGTAAGGATATGTCGCGTAAAGCATAGGAAGAATGGAACAGCTGACAATGTGGTGTCCAGGTCGGTATGACTGTGTAGGAAGGCGTCTGGCTTGGAACGTTCTGCGGCTAACCATTGCCTATACTCTCTGGAACTATGACTTTGAATTTGCCCCTGGAGAAGACGGCGAGACGTTTGAGGAAGAAGCCAAGTTCCAGCTAATTATTAAGCCCGCAAAGTTGGATTGTGTTTTTACGAAGAGGCCCGAGACTCGGTTGTGAGGCTATGGAAGAGACGAGCCAAGGCTGTGCTTGCTCTTGACAAGTCTTTGTTCATAGTGAGGGAGGTCAGGAAGACAGCAAGGAGGGTCCGAAGGAGACACGAACGACAAGGTTATTTAGTGGCCCGATTTCTTTTTCTCAATGAAATCCATTGTACTCATCGTAACCATTATCTTCGTCGCTCATGTGAAGTCGTATGACAAATGAGACCTCCCTTCTAGGAGCTCCCAATCACTGCCCGCTTCCCATTAGGTAAGGTAGTCCATGGTACCAAAAGATCAGTGCCCTCCCCTCATACCACAAACCACCCTCACAACCGCCCAGAACCTTCGAAACTGCCTCTAAACCAGGGCCAGAGCGAAGGAAACTTCCTCAACTCTGCCGCCTGGGTGGGCCACGCTGATCTTGCACATCTCCGACTCAGGGATCAGCGGGCCGTTATAGTCCGTCGGATGATGACGAGCGTGGCACATGGCATGTGTACGGTAAGAATCAAGGTTCCTTTAGCCTTCTAAGCCGGTCCCATCATCTGCTCGTTAGGCCTGTCCCGATTATGTGTGACGCCCCATTCCGGACCCCATCGCTTCGCGACCCAATCAAGGTCTCTATCGTGAAAGTCCGCCGGGATATAGACCCACTTCTCTTCGTCTTTGAGCCAGGTTCTGGCGGGCATGTACGCCTCGAGCATGTAATAGTTATCCCGCGAGTAGGGGAGATCGATGGTGGGCGGGCCGTTCCCCTCCAAGAAGGCGTCTGTGAGGGACTCCGCGTCGGCCTCGGACATCTCAAAGTGGCGACGGCGGTTACCCTTGTTCGCTCTCTGCCTCTTGATCGCGGCACAGGTGTTGTTGAGATGGACTTCGAGGAGGTGAGCGTAGGCGAGCGGGGAACGGATGGCATGGAGCACGATTTCTGTAATTTTGTCTTTCCAGACCAAGTTCCACGAAGCGTCTTGACCCCGACGCATGATAGTGATGGGAACCCCGGAGTCCAGATTGGGGCGCCACTTGTTGAAGTCGACAATGATGCAGCAGGCCTGCCAGCGCAAGACGCAGGTGAGGCAGGTGCATAAGACGTAGGGCTCCGGTTGAGGGATGTGGACGTATCGCCGGTGGATACCGAGCATGTCGATTCTGGCATCATTCTTGAGGACCGGGTGAAGTTCTGGGTCAATCTCGTCGAGTGTTACTGGGAGCCTGAAGCACTTGGAAAGAACTGGGTATCGTTGAGAGATGATTTTGCGCGAGAGAAGCTTCTCGTTGTGTTGGATGAGCTTGCGGAGTGTCTTGCAGGTCTGGGCAGTCTTCAAAACCTCGCTGGGAAGCATGTTGCTGATAATGTCGACAAGAGTCTCATTGGGAAGGTCAAGGAGTTGAGTTGTCCGGCGAGCTGAGGACTTTGCAGTCTTCTTCTCAAGTTTCCGCTTCATTCTCTCAGTCTTCTTTGAGCGTAGATTGAGCGCGCCCTTTGCTGTGACACGCTCGCTATCGGTAACTTCCTTTGTGGCTTCGGTGTGTCTTGAAAACTCGCCTTCGATCAGCTCACCAGTGCTTGTGTAGTAGGAAGTTGTGCCATCACTGTTGATGACTGTGAAAATTGAGCTGTCGACGACTGGCCCTTCTGACGTGGTCGCTGCCATCGTTGTTTGTGCTGAGCTTTTCATAGCCGGAGATACTTTGGCAGGATTGACTTTCGTGGAGGCCGTATCCTTCCGCTTGTGAGAGGTTTTGGGTCCCTTCAATGAGGTTCCTGAGATTTCATCAGCTTCCTTCATCTTCGGTGAGATTCCCATGAGCCTCAA